AAGAGAGTCTTTGGAATCACATGTTAGACTTGGTGTGACTTGTGATCCTTGTTGAGTGTAGAGTCTTTCCTGATACCATTTGCATTGGAAAGAGTTCGGAGAAGTCATTACGACGTCTGTACTGCCCAAGTTGATCCTCGTATAGCCAGATTTCTGGTGTCTACCCGATTTTACCCGGATTATCCTGCTTACCGTAGATAACACGGATTATCTTGCTTACCGTAGAGAATACCTTTCTTTGACTGGCGAAAGCGGTGCACAGACCTTTAGAACACAATTGCAAACATTTAAGTATCATTCAATTTATTTACAATCACCATTTTATTTCTACTGGGAATCCATTATCTCCCCTGATACTATCAGTGGAGTTAATGAAATATGTGTTCAATCTACTGGAATAGTTTCTGCATTTAGAAAATGTTTCGCAAAATTTCTTTTTTGCCTATAAATTGTTGTATAATTTGTTGTTATCTTACAATATAAACAACATATTACGGCAACCTGAAAACATGCTATTTTATATATATATATATATATATATATATATATATATATATATATATATATATATATATTAGGGATCAGCCAATCACGCTACCTTGTTTTCAAACTTTCGGTATCCTCAGGCGATATGGAACAAATGATTTCTTAACGCTTTATTATTTATATATTAAAATTTAAATTTTTCATTAATCAAATATAACCAATAACTGTTTTATGTGTGTATGTGTGTGTTTTTTGTGTGTGTGTTTGTGTGTGCATTTAGGCAGCAAATTCTCTTTTAGTCTGATTGAATAAATTACAAACATTATGTCTGCTTATTTTTAACATAATCCTTTCATATTCAAGAATATTTTTCTTACAATCAAATGAGGCAAGAAATGCACTGTAACAGTGGAAATCACATTTATTTCCCTCTCTTTCTGAGATCATCATCAGGGGGTGCAACTGCTAAGCTAGAAACTATGTGTAGCTCTATTAGTGAATATCTTTCTTTTGCTTTTAAATGCAACGGCTTTTGCGTTCATTAGAAAAAGTTATGCATTATGGAATTTTTTTTTCTTTCATGTTGGAATGTCATGGTCGAGCGCACATTAAAACGGGGCAACTGTTCTTTTTATAAGCATTTTAGAACATTATTACAGTATTCATAACTGAATCTATTCAGTGTCGGCTTCAATTTTTAATGTAGATTGCTTCAAGGATATGTAGTTTTATCATTTTTCTCGGTGTAAGATAGTTGTGTTATCAATCAGTATTTTTCTACACTGTGAATGTGGACAGGAATATCCTGTCTATAATTTATCAATCACACACACACCACACACACACACATATGCGTGTATATATATATATATATATATATATATATATATATATATATATATATATATATATAGCATAATGAGAAGCCACGTATACTTTCTTAATATGTATATATAGAAAAAACAACTAAAAAGTTGCAAATTAAAAAAATATAATAATGTTTTTTATGAAAGTATTTATTTATATTTTTTTATATATGTAGTTTTGATATTTCAGATCGACCTCGATCTTTCTTCAGAAATAACTGTTATTTCTGAAGAAATATATATATTACTAACATTCACACAATACAAGGCCCAAGAGCCACTCATGGTAGAGAGTTACAGTGCGGAGTTATATTAGCTTAGAACAGGACAAGCATTCGGAGTATAGAGCTAAAATAGACTAGAAAGAACCGGAAACCCAATCCTAAACAGGAAACAAGGGATAAACCTCTACTCTTCTTTAAAAGTCGGAGAGGTGTGTGAACCGGACGATAGGCGAACCTATCTACTCCTGTTGGTGAAGGAGAGAAAAAAAATAAAATGAAATAAATAGTGAATAAAATATCAGAGTTCAGGTGCAGACGTTATACTGGTTTTACCTCTGTTATATGCTATTTTACAAGTAAACTATTTGTTTCACTTACTGCTAACAGATTTTGAATTTACGATATTTTAATGCTTGAAACAGAAAAATATTTTTGTTTCTCTCTTCTGGTCTCACTTGACTCCAATAAAATGTTATCCAATGTAATGTTAAGCAATCATAAAGTCACTCAGATTTTTCTTGTTTTCTCCATCGCAATTTCTTACTTTCACCTCATTCTAATTTTTTCCTGATTTTTTTCTACATTATTTCTTTTACTATCTTCCTATCTTTCTTACGTTTTTTTCTTCTTTCCTTCATTATTTCCTGTAGCGCATTATTTTTCTTCAATTTTCCTTTCCTTTAATATCTATCTATCTATCTATCTATCTATCTATCTATCTATCTATCTATCTATCTATGTCTTAGTGCCTGTCTGTATCTATGTATCTATCCCAGTCCGTTCATATCTATCTATCTATCTATCTATATCTATCTATCTATCTGTCTGTCTCTTTCAATCTGTCTGTTTTTCTTCTTTCTCTCTACTTACTTCACTGGTAAGTGTTATCGATTGAATTGTATAATTTTAAGCATCAAGTCACCCTGAGAGTATATCAACAACAGTGCCACTGGTCGGGGTGTCGGGCGAAGCATTCCCAGCAAATGCTTCTTTCAAGGCTTTGACTTTTCCAAACGTCGAATTTACACCTTTTGTTATTTTAACGATCCTCACGTCTCCTCCTTCTCCTCCTTTTCCTTCTTCTTCTTCTTGGAGTTGTTGTTATCCTCTTACTTTTCCTCTTTCTTCTTCTTCGTGTTGTCATTGTCCTCTTCCTTTTCCTCGTCCTTCTCTTCCTCCACCTCCTCCTCCTCCTTCTTCTTTTTCTTCTTGTCCGCTTCGTTCTCCTCTTTCTTATGAATTTTCTTTTTCTATCGCTTTTCCATCATCTAATTTTATTTTTTCTTTCGTCTCTTCGATTCTCATACTTTTTTTCCATTCACTCTCCTTATTTTTCCTTTTGTTTGGAATTTTGTCACAGGTTTTGTTTTCTTTCTTTAATCTTCCCTTTCTTTTTTTCTCATCTGTACTTTTTACATTTGTTTTTGAAAGAAATATTTTCTTTTTCTCTTTCTTTTTAAGTTTAATCTTTTCTTTTTTTGTTTCCTTCTTCTTGATTTATTACATTTCTTTGTAAAAAATTTTCCTTTTTGATTTGACCTTCTCATTAATAATATCTTTCTTTTACTTTCTCCCTCCTTCTTTCTTTTCCTCTTTCATTTTTTTCCTTTTTTTATTTTCTCATATATGCTTGTTCCTTTCTTTTCCATTTACGTCCATTGTTCTTATGATCGTATTCTTTCTTTCTTTCTTTCTTTCTTTCTTTCTTTCTTTCTCACTCTCGAGTTTATTACTATTTTTTTTCGCTTTCTACCCTTTCTTCTTTAATCTTTGAAATTCATCAAAATAAATTATTTTCTTACTACGCATATAAGATGAGAGAAAAAGACAAATTATATTTAATAGATTAAATGTTTATCTGGTTCTTTTATTAACGTTCTAATACATTGCTTGCTTTCTTCTTCTTCTTCTTCTTCTTCTTCTTCTTCTTCTTTTTCTTCATTACTCTATATTCTCCCCTATCCATTTTTCTGCAGTGTTTGCTTCTTTTTCCTCTTCTTTGCTTCTCCCAAATCACCTTCACTCTTTAATACTTCCTGCTTTATTTCCCTTCTTATCTTTTTCAAGTTATTTATTTCTTTTATGTCCTTTGCCTCGTTTCCCCTTCGTTAAAATCTTAAAGTCTATGCTGCGATGACGTCACATGATGTAACTCTCCCACCCCATCAGATTCGCTGGTTTCAATTTTTTAAAAAAATAGCGAAGATGAGAAAAAACACAAAACAAAATGAGATACAAAGTTGCTTGATATTTTTGCTACTTGCTTTTCTAAACAATTTTATCTTTTAGCAAATAATTCGCCCCGCCACACCTTGCCAAATTGTACCTCCTCTTCAGATAATAATTTCTTTGTCATTAGCACTGATAAGAGATTTTACAGGATTTCGTGACAAAAACATCGATCGAGAATAGAGTTATATAATACATCACGTAAAATCTGGAATTCTAAAAGGCAAAAACGTCCAAAAATATTGGGTTGCTGCCCTCTGCATTACCCACAATGAATGCGAAAACGGATAATCGCAAAAGCCTTAAAATCAGAGAAAGAAACTAACAAAGAAAGAAAGAAAGAAAGAATGAAGACTAAAAGGAAGTAGGGAACGAAAGAATAAAGAAGAGGAAAAAGGAAAGAGAAGGAAAAGCAAAATTGGAGAAGTAAAAGAAGAAACCAAAAGAAAAGAGAAAAACTAGAGAATGGAAAAGAATGAAGAAACTGAATGAATGTGAGAAAAGAAAACGGAAAAGAAGGAAGGCTTTTGGAAGAAGAAGAAGAAGAAGAAGAAGAAAAAGAAGAAGAAGAAGAAGAAGAAGAAGGGTAGTGAAAGCGGAGGAGTGTGCATTGAATTGTATTGAATCTTTATGTTACTAAGAAAACAAAAAATGGAAAAGGAAAGTTAAATAAAAAGACGATTATTGAAAGGGAAAGAAAGTGAAAAACGGAAGAGGAGAGGTTGACAAGAGAAGGAAAGAAAAACAGTTGGGAAAAAAATACGGAAAACAAATGAAAGGATGAATGGAAGGATGGAAAGATAAAAATTTGTAAATAGAAGAACAAAAATGAAAAGGAGAATAAAAAAGAAAAAGGTAAAAAGGAGGAGAGGGTTGAGGAAAGGGTTGAGGAATTTGAGAAACTTATGTAGAAAGAGGAAGAAGAAGAATTGATTAGAGTATAGAAAGAGGAAGAGAAAAATAAGATGGTAATCAATAGATGGAGGTGAAAGAATGAAAGAAAGAAAATGGGATAGAGGAGGAGGGAGATTTTTAAAAGAACATGAGACAGGGAGGAGAAAGAAATAAAGAAAACAGGTGGATAAGTGCATAAGAAAAGGAAGTTGTAGGAGGGGGAAAAAGAGAGAAAAAGAGAGAAAAAGAGAGAAAAAGAAATACGAACTGGCGGGAGGCGACATAGGCTTACATCCAAATTATTGAAATACCGTTTTCCGTACGATCACCGAAGTTAAGCAACGTCGAGCCTAGTCAGTAGCTAGATGGGTGACCGCTTGGGGATGCTAAGTGCTATACGCTTTGATGTACGGTTGTGGTAACGGATAATGGCTTGGAGCTGTTAATCAGAGAAATGCGTTTTAATTCCTGTTGGATTCATTATATTCACTTACGCACAAAAACCCTATATGAAGGTATTGATCCAACTCTTCTCTCCCCAGTTATGGGTTAATTAGTAATACTTGTATTACTAAACTATTATTATCTAAACACATCATTACAGTCACAAAAAATATTTTCTGGCTTTAATTGATCTGCAAAGGGTTGATAAGCCGTCAAAAACGAGTCAATAAATATATGATGCTTAATGAACGGAAGAAGAAATTTCGAAAAACGTATGAAAAATCATAGACCACAAAATTATATTTGGTATCTGTTCTTCTTTATGACTACTAATTCTGGGTTTTATGTTCCCCACCGTGTTATCTCCGCCTCTTCCATCAAACGTGCCTCCCCACTTCAATCTAAATGTGAAATCGCGAGAGAAAAGGGATATCACCGCGAGATGAAGTCGATAGTCAGAGGACATCACTGAAAAATACGAAAGCTTAAGGAATCAGCGCCGACCAAGCATAGAAATAAATACAATATGTGAAACAGTAATAAGGAGTGCTAGAGAGAAGCAATAATAACAAGAAAATTGCAATATGAGCACTGGTAAAAAGACATTACGTTTATAAATCCCCCAAAATTCATACACTGATATCCTCAAAGACACGTGACTCAGTGACTTGACCCAAACAGTTTTGTGAACAAAAACTTGGAGAAATGAGTTAAAGGGAGATAACTAAAAACTGGGACTAGAACAATTTACTCCGGTGGACGAAATACAGGGTTCAGTTCGAAATTCCAATCACCTGAAGAAAGCCGGAGCGTGCAACGATTGAAACGTCGTGAATATGGCAACAAAGATGAGGACAAAATTCCGAACAAAGTAAATGGTGTAAATAATTAAAATACCTCATCTCATAAATATAGACAACCGCCCCGTATATATGTATGTATGTGTGTATGTATATATATATATATATATATATATATATATATATATATATGTATGTATGTATGTATGTATGTATATGATAGTTTCCCGTCAGTTACCTATTAATAAGAATAAAATATGAATAAAATATATAAACTAGGGTACTGAGACTTTATGAATTTAAACATACAACTACATTGGCCTCAAAGCCTTACCAATTCATAGTTGAGTTTTATATTAGCAGTTTCGTTTCTTTAATTTCTCGCTTAGAAATCTCATCCATGCTCCATGCTTTCCGGCCAACTTTCGTCTTGAACAATTTAAATGCAATATCAATCGTTGCCTTTTTGGTTACTTTTTTTTATTCTCGATTTTTAATACTTCACCTTTTTCTTATTCTTTCACACTCAGTGACCCCCTTGTGTTTTAATGGCTTTACTGCCTAGTATGTTGTGATATGATTAAAAAAAGTTTGTAGCTATTATTAGTATTATTATTATTACAAAGAAAAGTTATTATTTATTATTTTATCATAGAAATGCCTTTGGAAATGGATTGTTACTAGTCAGAATTCGAGGATACGTCACTGACGGAATAGGCGTGCTATAATAGAGATGATCGATTGAGTGACATATAGATAATGAATAAATCCAAATATATTCAACAATACCTCTCCATAAATATTCATAATTTAATAATTATATATATATATATATATATATATATATATATATATATAATTATGTTAAATTGATACAATTTCTTATATCACCAAAAGATGTGCGATCGGTACTTACCACATCAGTTCAAATATTTCATAGTCAAATATAAAATTATTTTCATCCATTTCCTAAGCCAATTATCTTATCCTGAAAAAATATGTATCATCGAGAAAATGTGTAAATATTTTTTAACCATTCGTAATCTGTTTAATATATTTATGTGTTCGTGTAAATAGGGAAGAGATAGATATTTACAAGGTTATCCTAACCCCAAAATAACGCTGTTTACGTTATTAATTTCTAGAATTCAAATCTTGAGATGTGAAGGCATGACTAAAGTAGATAGCTTTGTTTTCAAATTGTCTTCATTCAGAGACCCGACAAAAATAAAAAAAATCTGTTTTCAAAGAACAATTTTCGTGACATAAGTACATTGTCAGCTTTGTTTTTGAAATAACAACCTTTATTCAACGATCTAAATAATTCAAGTATATTTTATAGCGGGAAAAACATTTATGGCATTAACTTTGGTATCAAATTTACCAGAACTACTATCTACTTTTCCTTGTATTTGAATCATGAAGCAATATTTTAGACTACGATTCACACAATACAAAACTTGAGAGACACTCAAGGTAGAGGGCTATTATTAATATGGTTATGATGACTCAGGTGATTGATATGAATGAATATGAAAACTAGTGCAGTAGAATGAAGAATATAATGATAAGAAGGATAGATAACGATTGACCTTAGTATTGAAAAGGTTAAGATGGTAGTTTTCAGAGAAGTATCCACATGGGAGTCTGTGAAACTGTATTTTTCCATTCAGAATAGGGAGGAAATGATTGTGTTTTGATTCCGTGGAGGTAACATGGGATATCCTATATGGGAATGTTCGAAATAGGTGGAATTAAATCACTTTTTCTTTTGTAAAATATTTTTAAAAATTCTCAAACTCAAGTCGACCAACCATATTTACTAAGTTTTTTTTCAAGAGACGTATCTGATCATTAGCCTTCTTATCTTGAACTAAACACTGTGTACTAAACAGCATAGAGTTCTATCAACCATGAAAACAGTGTCTTTGGAAGAAATAATTCCTGCAGAATAGATATATACATTTTTATAAAATGGGATCAAGTACATACACAAATTGTTGCGTTCTGTGTCCTCTCTGGATCACCAAGCTGCTACATAAAACGCTATCAAGGAAAAAGAACATCTGTTTTTGTTATTTGTTTTATTAGGAAAGAGTGGTGGCAGTTTGAATTCTATGAGGCAGTAGGAGAAATTATATCACAGGAACGCATGTCACATGATGGCTCAGCGTTCCTCCGCGGGTGGACTTAGCGGGTCATTAACCTGGATGTGGGAGGCGTTTTGCCGTTTTGAACTTTTATTCAACACCCAGACAAAGGCAATCTATCACTGTCAGAATAACCCACCTACGAGGAACTCCAGACAATCGCTGACCATTCCGGCCCTGGCCATCGCATTCTGTAACAAAATGCTCTGAAATTGCTTCCAACGTCATAAGCAAAAGTCCGTCATATTGGATAGCTGGCTTTAGTCGGTTCTAGTCAAATATTTAACTTGGATATCGTCAGATTTATTACGTTTCGATACTCAAAATTTGAATAAATGAAGATTCTCTAAAATAAACGCACGATCGCAGTTAGCCATTGTTTTCTCTACTGAATATAGAAAGACTTAAGAAGTGACATGATTTTGGTTTTTCTGAAGTAACAAGTCATGTCCTGAGATAGCATTCTCGTTTCCATGAACTGATTTCAACACACTCAGTCACATCTGTTATCTTCTGACAAGTATTGTTATCAATCATACGATCAACTTGTTGAACGAGACACAGTAGTTTCGTTTGCTTTATTAATGAACGATACATTGTCGAGATTCACAAGGAAAATCGTAATTCCGATCTTATTCGACGGTGGCTTTGACAATTAAGTGAGTACAAGGCGTTGTTAATTCTCTTTTATTAATATTCAATCAATCAGCGACTAAACGCTTATTAATAGAATTTTGATTAAATACCATATGCAAGAAAACTTTTAAATGTTTTTAGTTAATCTTTTCTTGTTTACGTACATTTAAAACTTGTCTAGGACAAATAAAAATAAATCTTGTGAACATCTTGATGATCTGGCGCTTTCAATCTTACTTTTGCTTTTATGAAGATCATGAAAAATTATGGATACTATTTACATTTACTATTGTCCTCATGTTTGTCGCCATATTTATTACAACGTTTCGGCCGTTGTACGCTCAGGCCTTCTTCAGGTGGTTGGAATGTCGAACTGAACCCTTTATTTCGCTCACCGGGGTAGACTCTTCTAGTTCCACGTGCCATGTATAATGGATGTCAGTTATCAGTTATCTCTTGTTAATTCCTCTCTCCACGTTTTCCACCGCCTTAACGAGGTATTTAACTCACACTCTTTTGGACCCTGTCACTGGATCTAACCAACGCCTTTATCCACTGTGCCATGTGTCCTTGTGGATAAAGGCTTTGGTTAGATTCGGTGAAAGAGTGTGAGTTCAATACATGAAACGTTGTAATAAATATGGCGACAAAGGTGAGGACAATAGTGCGAATAATGTAAATAATGTACATAATACCTCATCTCAGAAATATAGACAAATACAAAATTATGGATGTTATTCAATTTTCGAATATTTTAAAACCGTTTTTCCGATTAAGTCACGATGGTGAGGATGTTTCCATCTGGAAACTATACATTATAGAGCTACGTTCCATTTAAAAACAAATAAGTTGATATTTATTTCATCTAGCACAAAGTTTACGTACCCTGGCTTTCTTACCATTACTCTATAAATGTCGTCAACACTCGTCAGCAGATGTGTACATGCTTGTCTTCAAAGAATTACCATCTTCGAATGGTACAATGAATTAAAACAAAAGTTAAAATTTAAATAAATAACAAAACAAAGTTCTTTGCATCCCGTCTAACTACAACATAAACACATGGGTCGACTTAGCTAAAAAGCAAAGAAAATGGCGGTCGCTGAATTAAAACGGACAAACGTTACTTCCGGGTCATTAAAATGTATTAGAGTGGTCGAGGCTAAAGTAACGGATAATCTTTAAGCTAACGGTTGTGCTGGTTTTACTTTGTTTTATTGCTTTCCAGTCAGAACTGATTAAGAATGACTTTTGAAAAGCTAAGTGTTGAAAGTTAATAAATGAGCGTGCTGTCTGGAGCCAAGTTAATTTTAAGGGTGGCAAAGGAGTCTGGTGGAAATGTTGTCACGGACAGACAGATCAGAAA